CAAACTTTATTCAGACATGTTAAGTTTGAAATTATTACATATCACATTTTAGCTGATTAGACTGTTAATATGATGTGCAGATTAAAGAACTAGAATCACAACTTCTTGTAGAGAGAAAGCTTGCTCGACAGCACGTTGACTCTAAAATTGCTGAACAGTTTCAGCAACAGCATATGAGACAACAGAATGAGGAGGAAGATGCAGCACCTACGAGGCTACCACTTGCCAGCAAAATTTCTGCTCTAAAGACTTGTGATGAAAACAAGTTTCCACTTAATATACCTCGACCACTTACTGAAAACAATTCCTACAAACTCTCGGTGCCTTCTGCTACTGTAGATTGTCCTTTGAAGCACAATGACCTGACAGAAAAAGAAAACAAGGAAAACAATCCAGATATTGATGAACAACCAGTTGTTCTAAAGAGGTTGGGGAGAGCTTCTATGTGCCCGATTGCACACAGGATTCTTCCTACACCTGCTCCACGTCGTAACTCTCTAATTCCTATACGCACTCTGTCAGCTGTACCTAAGTTGCCTCCTCCACTTTTTCCATTGAGATCAATTCAATCAGAGGAGATGGAAGATGCTGATGGAGTTGATTCAAAATGCTTACCTGAACCAACTTCACAGGACAGTCCTAAAGAGCTTAAGACAGCCAGTAAGAAGCTCAACAGTGTCTTGAGAAGAAGTCTTCAGAAGAAAATGCAGTTCAAGTCTCCTATGCAGCAGAACATCAGAAGAGTTGGCGTAAACGTGGGAATGGAGAAAGTTAGGATCTCTATTGGTAGCAGGGGAAGAATGGCTCAAAGAGTGATGCTTGGTAATGCTAGAAGAGTTCCAAAAGAAAATCAGCTGAAGCAAAGATGGAATATTGGAACAGCCAACAAAGCTGCTCTATGATTCTGATTCTTTATTTTACTACTTGTTTATTCTGAACTAACTAATTGAAGATGCTTCTTGCATGCATTGTGCAGCAACACATAAACTGAAAAAAAAAGGAAAAAAGTTTGTTGATTGCTCAACCTAAAGCCACTTTACACCTTGTTTGTGGATGGTTGTTCCCCGTTGTATTGTATTGTCAGTTTAAATACAACGTTTGTTTTGATTGTTACTTAAATTCTATTGTATCATATCGTTTAAATCAATGGTTAGACAATGACGAAAAGACTCATTTTACGTAACGACTGATTTGTTGTGATCGCGTCATTACCTTAATATTTTCTTCTCATTTTGTTTTTATTTGTTATTTAATAATTATTTTTAATCTTTTGCCGTACATTTTCATAGTTGCTTTACCTCGTATCCTACTTTTCTTATAGGTTTATTATTCAAATTATGGATGTGTGACATTATACAACGACGAAGAACGATACAATCTATCTAAACATTTATGTTATTCATTCGCTCTTGTATTCATGCACACATTTAGACTAGATCATCAAATACAATACATGAGTATACAAAGATATAAACACAAAAAAATGCAAGGGAGTGTATTCATTCGCTCTAATTTCACTCGTATAAGAGCGAAAAAGGAGCGAGAGATGGAGAGAGGCGAGTGGATTATGATTTTGAGGTGCAAAAATTAAAGACCCTACCAAATATAGAGATATTTGGGCGAATAATCCACTTAAATTCAGTTCAACTCACCTATTTAACACTCCTAAATTGGATTAAATATTGAGTGGGGTATGATTTTATTTATTTATTATTCAATTTATTTTATTTCACTCAATTATAGCCCAACTTGCCGACACCACTAACGTCAAGAAAAAGTTTCAATATTCAATATTATACAAACAGTATCAAATGTCTATATTTATTAAAAATATTTTTTTATATTTACAAATATTTTAATATTTTTATTTTACTTTTAATAAATAATTTAAATTATATAAATATTTAAGACTTATTTTAGATTATAAATATTAGAAAAAATTGCTCATTCTTAATTTTTATATTTAAACAAATAATATCACGTAAATTAAGACAAAAACAAATATACTAATTTGAGATCAAATTATTTTACCTGCCACTTTGTTTCTTTGGATGAAGACAAACTTAGCATATTGAAGTTTCAAATTTCAAGGGTTATATAAATAAAAAATGTAATAAAAATATTAAACACCGAGTGAAACTGTAGCTAGATGTAATTGAATCTCATCAAATCTTTGTGACGCTAATGATGTTTCTTGACCTCTTAAGAAAATATTTGGGATTCTTCAATAAAGAATATTGTAAAAGCAAAACATATAAATCATATTAATTATAACAAGTCACTAATTGCATTAAACAAATGTAAAAGCAGAAAAAAAAAACGAATAAAGAATGCCAAGATCAATTAGTGACCAAAGATTATAATAATATATCATAGGAAATTTTTATGAGTGAATATAATCTTTACAATTTTTGATTTATTAAAGTATATATAGAAAAAAAAAGTGAATAACTAATATGAGATGAAGAGAGTTTTGGAATGTACTTAGTTTTGATACATGATAAAAATTGTACATTAAATCTGATAAAATATTAAACACTAGCTTATAAAGTGAAATTTATCAAAACCATATAAAAGGTTACAAAATCCACAATATCTCATCGATGTAGGACTCAATGATATATGACTTTATATTTTGTACACAATCTATATAAATATTTTTTTATACTATCATATCATTAAAATAATTTCTATAAATAAACCTTCATAAAATATGTCCTTCGACATTTGAAAATAAAATATGTTATCTAATACAATTTAAAAAGGTGATTATAATATTATATAAAAATTATTTACACTGATGATGCACGTTACTCTAAAAAAACTCTTTATATAGTGCTTCATATCAATAGTCAATACTCATCAATAACATTAGTATTCAATACTTTTGCTCTAAAATAGAATGGAAGAAGAAGTGATTTTATTAGATTTTTGGTGTAGTATGTATGGTATGAGGGCAAGAATTGCACTTGAAGAAAAAGGTATAAAATATGAATACAAAGAAGAAGATTTGAAGAATAAAAGCCCTTTGCTTTTACAAATGAATCCAATTCACAAGAAAATTCCAGTATTAATTCATAATGGAAAATCAATTTGTGAATCACTTGTTATAATTCAATATATTGATGATGTTTGGAAGGGAATTGGTCCTTTGTTAATTCCTAAAGATCCTTATGAGAAAGCTCAAGCTTGGTTTTGGTCTGATTATATGGACAATACTGTAAGTAAAAAAAAAATTAATTTTATTTCCTTTTTTGCTTTAATTTTATTCGCGCTCGAAAGGAGAGATTTGATTTTATAGTCGTTATAGTACTAGTTATAATATGATTTTTCTTAGAGGTGAAAATTAGGATTTGAAGGCAATGAGAAATTAGGATTTTAGTCTTTTAAAGTTATTGATTTTGAAATTACTAATTTGTACTGTTCATTTTAAAAGCTCAAGGTTTCATCTGAATTTACGGTCAAAATTACTAGTTTGACTCTTGAGATTTGAACAACAATATAAATTGTGATATAATTAAGGAGCAGTAAATGAGGGTAGATAATGTTCATCTTTTAATTCAAAGAGGATCAATAATGTTTTCACTCACCCTTTAGCTCGACTTGAACTCTCAATCTACTGATCGATGGTAGAGATGCTCAACCACTTGAGCAAGTCTCACTTGTCTCTTATAATTAATGTTTTTTCATTCAAGAAAAAAGAAGAAAAAACTAAAACGACAACTAAATAGGAACAGAAGGAGTAATATATTTTGTGTAGACAAAAAAAGAAAAGTGTGTTGGATTGAATAATTTCAATTGTGCAAAATAATGAAGGTACATGAATATGCAAGAAAGACATGGGCAACAAAAGGAGAAGAACAAGAGCAAGCAATCAAAGACTTTTTAGATGGACTTAAATTGCTAGAAGGAGTACTTGGTGACAAACCATATTTTGGAGGTGATAATTTTGGATTTCTTGATGTATCTTTGATTGGTTACTATAGTTGGTTTCTTGCCTATGAAACATTTGGAAAATTTAATGTTGAATTAGAATGTCCCAAATTGATTTCATGGGTGAAAAGGTGTTTGGAAAGAGATAGTGTTTCTAAGGCACTTCCTGATTCTAAGAAAGTTTGTGAGTTTGTCCTTCACCTTAGGAAGGAGTTTGGATTGGAATGATAAGACACGAGAGTCGTCTTTGTTAAATAGTATTTAGTCAGGAGGCTTCATGTATCGAATGGAGAAAAAATAAAAAGAAGACATGGACATGTCTCTTGTTGGATTCTGTTTTTAGTGTTTTTGTTTTTGTGGATTTCACTTATGTAATAAATGTTCTCCTTATATGATGAAAGAATGGATCTTTTGGCTTTCTTGATTTCATTGCCAACAAGTAGAATGTAGTGGAAATCTATTACTTTGGAAGTGAGTAACGCTCTTCTTTTAGCAATTTCTTGTTCCGGCTGTGAAGATAAAATGTACTTAGATAGAGGAACGATTTTCAATAGACACTCGATTTAAAAAAGGATGATAAAAAATTGTTCGTAAAAATTATCGTCAAATTGATTCGGCAAACAAGGGGGAAGTCTGCCACATCAACCCTTTAAGAGATAGGGACTCCAGCGCAGCGATAAGAAAAAATCACTCAGTGAATCGGTGGATCACACACTTGGAGAAGGGAACAGGGGACAACAATAGCATTTAGAAGGTCCATAAACCCCAAATTTACACAAAGATTCATTGTTTGCTAGCTTACCATTCAACAATTTCATAAAATCTCCTACTACAATTTCCTACCTGAAGTAGTTTTATTACACTAAGACTTACTAGAAATCCACCCCTTAATAGCATAATAAAAACATTTATTTATTCTTTATATATACATAAATATAGATAAACAACATTTATTTTATAACTACCTGGGAAGTTTTCAAAAAGAAAAAACATAATAACTAACACACACATAACATCCTCACAGCTTAACTCCATCAAGTCTGTTTGTACGAATACAACGAAAAGACCTATGGAAGGCCAAGTTGTTGTTTCAATTTTAACACGTACTCATAAACTTTATTTGGCTCCGCTAGGGATTTGGAGACACTATCTTTATGCATACATTTGTTGGCCCATGCCACAAACTTTGGACACTCTTTTTCTATGTTAAAATTCCCAAATTTCTCAAAAGTTGGGAACCAACTATAGAAAGGAATTAAAGCCAAATCCACAAACCCAAAATTTTCTCCATTGAAATATGGCAATAACTTTAGGCACTCTATGAATTCTTTCTTGGCTGCTTCTTGATCTTCCCCTTTTGTAGTCCATATTCTCCTTCCACTCTCGTAAACCTGTAACGAGAAAACGCTCTCTATTAAGAACTTCTTCATTTTCAATTTTGAAAGTAAATTTGTATTTTTCTCTGATCTCAATTTTAAATTTCATGCAAAAATGACTAAATTTCAATAATATGTACTTAAACTTCAGTTATATGAAATTTCAAAACTCTATATACTGATGTCAATATGACTTAGATGGTGATCTCAAAATTGAACGTAAACTTTTTATTTAACTAATTAAAATTAGTGAAACCACCCTCGACTACCTACTACCTCGACTACCTACTAACCTGCTAAAGTAAAATATTAAAATCTTTACATATACACCAACTATTTTAGTAATTAAAGAAAATATATAATATATAGATGTAATTGTATACCTTTTTGTCAATAAAATCAGCCCAAAACCTAGCTTGAGCCCTCTTATAAGGATCAGATGGCATCAAAGGAGATTTGTCCTTCCAAACCTCATCTATATACTCAACAATTATGAGTGACTCACAAATTGGTTTTCCATTATGAATTAACACTGGAATTTTCTTATGAATTGGATTCATTTGTAGTAAAAGTGAACTTTTATTACTCAAATCTTCCTCTTTGTATTCATATTTAATCCCTTTTTCATCTAATGCAATTCTTGCCCTCATACCAAACATACTCACATAAGCACTCAAAAGAACAACTTCATTACTCATTTTTGCTAATTAAAAGATGTAAAATTAAAGTGGAACTAAAATATATGTGATGAACACTTAAATAGAAAATTATGTCTATAAATAGAGTTTGCTGGTTGTACTATCAAGAATGACTACATATTTCTAGGAACTTCTCTTATAATCTAGAGGGATTTTTCTTTTATTTTACATTCGAATAAAATTTAAAAAAAAGAACAAATTTAATTGATCATCATTATCTCAAAGATATGAATGACTTTACTATAAATAGAAAATATGATTAGTCATAGGTTGATGAGGCTTTAATTTAATTAATTAATTTTATTATCAAGAATGCCCCACATCTTTCTGGACCTTCTCTTTTAATCTGGAAAATAAAAATAAAAACTGGATCATCATTATCTTATCTTAAGTTATATATATGTGTTGTGTCATCAAAGTCTAATGCAGCCGATTAGCCAGCAAAATCGTGATTACTAAGACAATGTAAATTAGTATTAAGTAAGTCTAAATTTATCTCTCGGGTACTGAGTTGCTTTTATTAAGGAATGATTTACTCCTTAATTATATGAAATTTTCTAACATAAATTTGAATTTAGTCGAATTTCAATATTAATATCAAATGAAAAATAGTATATATATAGACGTATAATTTAAATTTCGAAACTGTACTATTTGCATTCAATAATCGTTTCATTATAGAACTTTTGAGTATGGACACACACATATATTAAGTAGTCTTAATAATATATATATATAGTATTATTGCGAGGAATATGAATACATAGGTGAACTTATGTTCCTTCATATAGATACACTACTCTTACTTATCGTTTACGTGACTTCAACATCCAAACATATCGACTAGTATTATTACAAGGAATATGAATACATAGGTGAACTCGTGTTCTTTCATATAGATATACTTTTTATCTATATAATACTCATACTTATAATTTATACGTGACTTCAACATCCAAACATATCAATTGATGAAGAAGATGTTAAATCATTAGACCATCTAACTCATGATGGTCCCACCTCAAACAAGATGACATGTTCGATCATTAAAACATAAAATTCTGAATCTGTCTTTGTGTTTACTAATTAAACATGTGATCACCAACCTTTCTTGAATTCCAAATAAGCTTGATAGACTTGATCTGAAGTAGGAAGTGACTTGGATACTGAGTCTCTTTTGAAACACCTTTCTCCCCACATCACTAACTTGGGACATTCTATTTCAATTGTGTTGAAATTTGCAAAGGTCTTGAAGACAATAAACCAATTGTAGAAAGGAACAAGTGCAATGTCTACAAATCCAAATACATCTCCTCCAAAATAAAGTTTGTCTCCAAGTTCTTCTTCCAAAAACTTTGACCATTCTACAAGTTCTTTCTTACCATCTTCTTGTTCTTCATTTTGCCCCATCCATACCTTTACACTTGACCCATGTACCTAAAATTAATGCTTGTAGGGTTATTTATATGATGATAAGATTAATAACTATTTCCATACATTTCACGTATCTTTAATTTAAGATTATAAAATTCAAAAGTCTTTTTTATTTTCTTAAACTTTATGTCAAGTCAAAAGACAAACGAATTAAAACAAAGAGAGTATTACTTTATGCAGAATATATACCTGAATATAATTAAATTCTGCATAACTGCATAACTAATTTCAATGATACTAATACCTGCATAACTCTAACCACCGTTCAAACAACCCCCAAGTCTATACAAGTTAGTCAAATCACACAAACATACAACTTTACATATGAAATGAATTAAGGAAGAGTTAAAAAGTCCTTTACCTTCTTGTTGATGAAGTCAACCAAGAACCTAGTTTTTGCTCTTTGATAAGGTTCAGAGGGCAATAAGGGAAAATTGTTTTTCCAAATCTCATCAATATATTGAATTATGATATTTGATTCACAAATAGATTTACCCTTATGAACAAGAACCGGTATTTTGTGATGAACCGGGTTCATTTCCAAAAGCAAAGGACTTTTATTAGACAAATCCTCAAACTTGTGGATGTAGTTGACTCCTTTTTCAACTAGGGCAATTCTTGCCATTGTTCCAAAAGGACTAGGCCAATAATCTAAAAGTACAACTTCTTCTTCTTGTGTCATGTTTTTTGAAAGTTTGGGAAATATCAAAGGAATAGTACTATTAGTAGAAGACTTGTAAGAAGAAGAGGTGATTAAGAGTGTGAGGGTTTGTGTGGTTCTTTATTGTGGTGTGCTAGGAGTCATTAAGGAGAGATTTACCATTTGATTGAGACAAGAAAGGGACAATTATGTAATCATTTGAATTTTTTACTAATTGAGTCTTTTATAAAAAAAAAATTAATTGTTATCATTCCTTGTGTTATACTAATCAATTAGAAGGTTATTTGTTTGTGCTTGACGAAGATCTGAATCTGAATATATAATGGTGTATTCATTTATATTAATATTTGTAGTCTAACACTCTATTTACGTTTACTAGATAATTTATGGGGATAGTTTTCACTTTCATTCTATCTACATTCACTAGATACTATTAGTCTATTACTAATTATTTTTATCCTCATAACTATTATTATCACCTATAACTATCAACTACCATCATCAATCATCTCTATCATTACAATAATTATATATTGATGTCAACCACTATTGGAACTACTCTTACTACTCCTTTAAAGAGTTTGACTCCTATATTAACTAATAATCCTACGGACAAGGATAGCTTAGTTTTAGTATGATTAGATTTCCTAGGTCATATATAACTTATACCACCATAGTTGTATATAAATATAGGAGTGGACATAACACATTGAAAAGCAACATAAATAATATATCATTTCGTACTTGCTTTTGATAAATATCACAAACTGACAACCATTACTTTCAGTCGCTATCACACTTACCACATTTATCATTATAAGTTATATACCATTGCCACCAACACCATCACCTCCACTATTACTATCAACCATTATTACCATTACGGTCAGTCTTAATCATCAATCACTTCCACCATCACGCACAATTAAAAGATTTGTAAGAAAAAGAGGATAGAATATGAGAGTTTATGGTTATTTTTGTAGTGTGCCTGTAGCACTCCACTTAGGATACAAATTGCCATGTATGACGTCATCTAAAACGCATATGTCTATTTGTTCAATTTTATATAAGTTAAAGTGTCTATTTGTATACATTCAAAGTCAAAGGACACAAATATTAACTGAAGTCAAATTAAAAAGTTTGTTTGTTTATTATGCTAAATTTATAATATGACTAGTCTTGTTGATACCCCATCTACAAGGTAATCTCTTTTCCTTATCTTTTTTTTCCAAAAAAACATTTCCATGTGAAAAAGTTCTTAAATTTTTAATAATATATCAAATTTGAGATGAAAATAATTCAATTATGTCTGCCATTGGAGTCCAATTCAGTCAACTTGACAAAAAAAACCCAACTGTTTGACCCGTGAAATTACAAATTGGGTCATTTCCTTTTCTAGCCAACTCCATTGTTTCACTTTCCCTTTTGATCATCATCTTCATTATCAATCTTCATCACTTTTTTTTCGCTCCATTTTTTTTTTTTTGGCCACGATGGGATCTCTTCTCCGGATGAATCGCCTTGTAAGTCTCATAAACCCTAACTACTTTTTTTTCTTTTTTTTTTTTTGCCAATTTTGACTTTTAATTGCTGAAAACTAGTCTTATTGAAGTGTTTTTCTTAGGTTTACTTGTTGTTAATTAGCTTCACTTGTAATAATGTATTCAAAGTTCGTGATGAATCGTTTGAATGTTGAATTTCAGCTCATTTTTGCAGATTGTGTTGTTTATAATAACGATTGATTTGGGTGTTTAACTAGCTCAAATTGATTAATTTAGAATAACCTAAACTGAATAATTGAAGTTTCCAGGCAGTTACTGAGGTTTGATTTTTCATGGAGCAAGGTTATTAGTGGAGAGTGGGGTTTGGAATGATTTTTAAGAATGAATAATATGTAAATGAACTGAAATTGCAATCGATTAACGATTTTTAGAGTTTAATTGCTTTTGTTGTGATAATGTCTTCATAATTGTGATGGTGCTTTGATCATTTTTTCGGAATATGTTCTTGTGGTTTGAGTTTGTGGGATGAATGTGAAGTTCAGCTCATTTTTGCATGTTCGTTTTATTTATCCCCGAAAGACTGATTTCGGTGTTTAACTAGCTCAAATCAGTTAGTCTACAACAACATGCTAACTGTAATCCGACAAATGGGATTTGGGGAGGGTAGAGTGTAAGCAGACCTTATACCTACCTTACCACAAATGGGATTTGGGATAAGATGTGTATCCCTCATCTCTAGTGGTTCACTATTTGAGGAATAATTCCTGGAAGAAGACTATCGTAAACACATTCGCTAAACATATCTCAGGATGGTATCAAAGAAGAAATAAATGAAGATTAAAGGCGTGCGAGAGTGATAAAAACAAACCAAAAGCTGCTAATGGAGAAGAGTGCAAATTGAGAAATAATTTCATGTGTAAAGTATGCACAAGGAAAATATGTCACATACGGTGAAAACTTTGCACTAACCGCATATGCCACAGTTTTCCCAAGTTAAGAAAATCTAATACTAGTAAAATATAACTCAAACTAACTCAAATCTTCAAAAAATGCGGAAGTGAACATTTAAATGAATAATATCGAGGATGTTACGTACTAATAAAATGAGCATAATATTTGGATGATGAAATAATATCTTTTAAGTGCTGAATAATGATTGTCTGGCTATAACTCTGAGGGAACAAATTGTTCTGAAATGCACTATCACTGAAAGTGAATATGACATCATTGAAATTTGGAGGATCTAAGTAGATTCATGCTTTCTTACATCATATGTTCTTTTCTATTGCAATGTTGGTTCCTATAGCATCATTATATTAATCAAATTTATTTCACAGTTCTAACCACATAACCTATTTTCAGAATTTGTATTTATTTTGTCCCACAAAATAATGAACATTCAGACCAAGCATGTGCATGTCATA